GGTGATGCCCACCACGAGGCCGCGCTGGGGCGGGGATTTGGGGAAGGAATCGATGGAAACGATCTCGGCGTCCACTGCGGGAGAGGGGCGCTCAGGGACCCAAAATACCCCCAAAATAGCCCAAAATACCCCCAAAATAGCCCAAAAACCCTCCCAAAATACCCCCAAAATAGCCCAAAAAACCTCCCAAAATACCCCCAAAATAGCCCCAAAAACCTCACAGAAATCCCCCAAAATAGCCAAAAAAACCTCCCAAAAAACCTCCCAAAATACCCCCAAATAGCCCTAAAAACCTCACAGAAATTCCCCAAAATAGCCCAAAAAACCTCCCAAAAAACTCTCCAAAAAACCCCCCAAAATAGCCCCAAAAAACCTCCCAGAAATTCCCCAAAATAGCCCAAAAAACCCCTGAAATATCCCCCAAAATCCCCAAAAAACTCTCCAAAAAACCCCCCGAAATAGGCCCCAAAAACCTCCAAATATCCCCCAAAATATCCCCCCAGAACCTCCCAAAAAAACCCCAAAAAGCCCCCAAAAAATCCCCAAAAATTCCTACAGAAATCCCAAAAAACTCCAAAAAAAATCCCAAAAATTCCTAAAAATAAAAAAAAAATCCCAAAAAATTCCAAAAAAATCCCTAAAAAAATCCCAAAAAATTCCTTAAAAAAAATCCCAAATTCCTAAAAGAGAATCACAAAAAATTCCTAAAAAAATCGCAAAATACTCCAAAAAAATCACAAAAAATCCCTTTAAAAATGCCAAAAAACTCCCCAAAAATTCAAAAAAAAAAAAAAAAAAATTCCTAAAACACCCCACAAAAATTATCCAAAAATTCCCGCAAAATTCCCAAAAAAATCCCTTTAAAAACCCCCAAAAATTTAAAAAAAAATCCCAAAAAATCCCCAAAAAATCCAAATAAATCCCTTTAAAAATTCCCAACAAATTCCCGGTTGTTCCCGGTTGTTCCCGGTTGTTCCCGGTTGTTCCCGGTTGTTCCCGGTAGGTCCCGGTTGTTCCCGGTTGGTGCCGGTACCGGGGATGTAGGTGAACTGCAGCTCCCGGGCCGTGGGGCGCAGGCGCGGCCGCAGCTGCCGGTACCGGAACAGCGACACCTTCCCCTTCAGCGCCGCCGCCAGCAGCGCCCCGGGACCGGGACCGGGACCGGGACCGGAACCGGGAACGGGAACGGAACCGGGACCGGGAACGGAACCGGGAATGGAACTGGGAACGGGAACGGAACCGGGAACGGGACCGGGAACGGGACCGGGAACGGGACCGGGAACGGAACCGGGACCGGGGTCAGGACCCGCCCCGGGAACGGAACTGGGAACGGGAATGGAACCGGGAACGGGAACGGGACCGGGAACGGGAACGGGAACGGGAACGGGACCGGGAACGGGGTCAGGACCCGCCCCGGGACCGGGAACGGAACCGGGAACGGAAACAGGAACGGAACCGGGAACGGGAACTGGGTCAGGACCCGCTCCGGGACCGGGACCGGGAACGGAACCGGGAACGGGAACGGAACCGGGAACGGGACCGGAACCGGGAATGGGAATGGCACCGGGAACGGGAACTGGGTCAGGACCCGCACCAGCACCAGGAACGGGACCGGGAATGGGACCTGAACTGGTCCCGGGAACGGAACCGGGAACAGAACTGGGAAACTGGGTGGGACCGGGACCGAGAACTGGGTCAGGACCGGGACCCGAACCGGCACCAGGAACGGGACCGGAACTGGGAATGGAACCGGCACCGGGAATGGAACCGGCACCGGGAGCTGGGGCAGAACCGGGACCGGCGCCGGGAACAGAAAGTGGTTCAGAACCGGGACCAGGACTGGGAACTGGGGTGGAACCGGGAACGGAACCGGGAACGGAACCGGGACCGGCTACCGGGACCGGCGCCAAACCCAACCCGAGATCCCGAACCGGGACAGAACCGGGAACAGGAACAGAACCGGGAACGGCACTGGGAACCGGAACCGGGTCAGAACCGGGAGTGGCACCGGGACCTTGGACTGGGCCAGAACCGCGTCCGTGACCCTGAACCGGGTCAGAACCGGAGATGGTACCAGTGCCATGACCCTGAACCGGGTCAGAACCGGAGCCGGTGCCGGTCCCAGGACCCCGGGCCGGGTCAGAACCGGGCCCAGGACCCCGGGCCGGGTCAGAACCGGGCCCAGGACCCCGGGCCGGGTCAGAACCGGAGCCGGTGCCGGTACCGGGCAGCGCCGCCAGCCCGTAGACGTTGCTCTGGGAGCGCAGGCGGCTGAAGCTGTCCTCGACCAGCGGGCACCGCGGCCACGCCCGCATCCCCACGGCACCGGGACCGGACCGGGACAGAACCGGGACAGAACCGGGACAGAACCCGGACCGGGACAGAACTGAACCGGGACCGGGACAGAACCGGGACCGAGACTGGGACAGAACCGGGACCGGGACCGGGACAGAACCGAACCGGGACCGGGACAGAACCGAACCGGGACCGGGACCGGACCGGGGCAGAACCAAACCGGGACCGGGACAGAACCGAACCGGGACAGAACAGGGACCGGGAACAGGACAGAACCAAACCAGGACCGGGACAGAAATGGGACAGAACCGAACCGGGACTGGGACAGAACCGAACCGGGACCGGGACAGAACCGGAACAGAACCGAACCGGGACCGGGGTAGAAACGGGATAGAACCGGGCCAGCACCAGGACGGGACCAAACCGAGTCAAACCGGGCAGGAACCGGGAGCGAACCGGGCCAGAACCGGGAGGAACGGGAACCAAACCGGGACTGAACCAGGAGGAACCGGGACCGAAGCGAGTCAAACAGGGCCCGAACCGGGAGGAACGGGGGGGAACGGGAACCAAAGCGGGACCGAACCGGGAGGAAGCGGGACCGAACCGAGTCAAACCGGGCTAGAACCGGGCCGGAACCGGGAGGAACGGGAACCAAACCGGGACCGAACCGGGACCGAACCGAGTCAAACCGGGCTAGAACCGGGAGGAACGGGGGGGAACGGGAACCAAACCGGGACCGAACCGAGTCAAACCGGGCCAGAACCGGGGGGGAACGGGGCCGGGCCCGGGAGCGGCGCGGGCAGCCCGGAGCGGCAGCGCCGGGGCCCGGCGGGGAGCGGCGCGCGGCGATGACGTCACGAGAGCGCCGTAACGGACAGCGCGAAGTGGGCGGGGCTGGGGAGGGAGGCCCCGCCCACTGTGGGCGTGGCCAGAGCCCGGAGAGGGAACCGCGGGGCGGGGCCAAAGGGGGCGGGGCCAAAGGGGATCCGGGGGATTGGGGAAAGGACGAGGCCACGCCCCCCAAATGAGACCACGCCCCAAAATGAGGCCACGCCCCCAAAATGAGGCCACGCCCCAAAAAGGAGACCACGCCCACCCCAAAAATGAAGCCGCGCCCCCAAAATTCTGGGGACATGCCCCAAAAATGAAGCCACGCCCACAAATCCACGAAACACCCCAAAAATCAGGGATACGCCCCCCAAAATAAAAGCCACGCCCCCAAATTAGGGGTACACCCCAAAAATTAGAGCCACGCCCCCAAATCGGGGTCACGCCCCTAAAGAAAAGCCACGCCCCCAAAACCAAAATTTGGGGTGTTTTTTTTTTAGTTTTGGAATAGGTTTGGGCCGTTTTTGGGATATTTCCCGACAGTTTTTGGGGTTTTTTTGCCCAGTTTTGGGATATTTTCGGGGTGATTTTGAGGC